TCTTCTGGGAAATATCCATCAACCCCTCTGAACAGCAGAATTAAGCTAGCAGTTGCAGATTTGCTGATTTGCTGCGTATTCTAATTTGCTTGGCCTAATTTTGGCACCAGTGTCCAACGGTCTTCGATTTCTTTTGCTAAACCTGTGGCAGGTACACCATCTATCTAGATCTTCAATTTTAGATTTCTCCATTGGTGCACAATTTGGTTACCTTAGATTTCTTGCTTTCGATTGATTGCTAGTTCAGTTTTTTTATTTTTTTATTTTTTGGCCAAGTTGCTACTTCAGTAGTAAACATGTATTCCTGTGGCTTTGTGTTTTTGAATTTCTTTGTATAAGAGTTCCGTTTGAGTTTGGTGTCAAAGGTCCAATATTTTGACAGCAAATGAAAATGCAAATTAAATTATGTGACATGCTAAGCGATGAAAGGAGCTAATGACAAATTTTCCTCCCCTTTTTAGCCTCACTTTTTCATCCTATTAAGCATTAGTTATTCCTATCTTGCATTGTTTTTGAAGTTGTCATATCCATTCTAATACACATGGTGTTTCATTTTACAGGGCCTTTTTCAATGGAGCTTCTAGTAGAACCTATCACGGAAGTGGTACAGTGTTTGGGGAGGTCAACCTGCACCTATCTAGGTCATCACTTAAATTTTGATGAAGCTGTGAATGATTTGAGAAGAGAATTGCAAGTTCTAATCTCTCGAAAAGAAGATATAAATTTAAGCATACAGTTTAAGGCTGGTAGGGGAAAAGAAGTAAAACATGAAGTGCAAGCCTGGCTTAAACTTGTACAAGAAACCAATAATGAAGTGCAAGCCATTCAAGAAAAGATTTAGAGAGTTAAGTGGTACTCAAAGGGTCGTCTTCAAAAACTTGTTTGTAAGAAAATTGAGGTGGTGAAGAGAATGTATGAACTAGGTTGTTTTCCTGATGGTTTCACAGTGACAATTGACAGACCTCCACAAGGAATCATATTGCCAACTGAGAATGTAGTGGGTGAAGATTTTGTAGAAGAAAAAATTTGGGGATACTTGATGGGCAATGAGGTCAGAAAGATTGGAGTTTGTGGGGATGGTGGGATTGGGAAGACTACCATTATGAAGCATATTAATAATGAATTGTTAAGTGTGACCAAATTTGATAGGGTGATTTGGGTCCATGTGTCCTACCCACTCAGTGTTATCAATTTACAAGAAAATATTGCTCACGCCATCGATGATAAATTGAGACTCCCAAAAGGTGAGGATAAAGTGAGGCGGGCAGCTACTTTGATGAGCATTATGAAAGGAGTAGGAAGATATGTGCTTATCCTAGATGATGTTTGGGAAGTGTTTTCTCTGAGTGAAGTGGGAATTCTAAAACCAACAATTCAGAATGGAAGTAAAATAGTCATCACTAGTAGATCCAGTGATGTGTGCCAAAAAATGCTTTGTAAGATAGTCAAAGTGAAGCCTCTTTCATGTCTAGAGTCTTTCAACTTATTCTTTGATAAAGTTGGGCATCATGTTCTGCAAGTACCAAATTTAGAAGGAATCTTGAAGCTCATCGTGGAGGAGTGTGTTGGCTTACCGTTGGCCATTGTTGTGATTGCACAGAGTATGAGGGGAGAAGATGATGTTGAAGTGTGGAAGAATGCCTTAAATGAATTACAAGAATAGGTAAAGAGTGTGATTGGTTCAGATCAAAAGATGTTTAAGAGGTTAAGGTTTAGTTATGATCGTTTGAATAATTTTGAAATCTAAAATTGTTTACGTATTCTTTTTAGGACTGTGGTTCTTAGATTTATGTATTTTACTAATTATGTTTGCTTATTAACTAGGCATTGATTTTATCTTCACATTTGTTTACGTATTCTTTTTAGGACTGTGGTTCTTAGATTTATGTATTTTACTGATTATCTTTGCTTATTAATTAGGCACAATGTAAAAATTTATATAGGTATCAGCAAAAAATGAGCATTCAACTTAAATCAATTAATGATAGAAG